TGTGTGTGTGTGTGTGAGAGAGTGTGTGTGTGTGTGTGTGTGAGTATGTGTGAAACGGTTCACACGCAGCTTTTGCGTACAAATACCGAAGGACAGCCGCTGCATTGATCGAAGAGATGCGAAACTTCACTTGTTTTAGAGAGATCTTGGAAACAATAGCGCGCTAAACCGAAGGAAATGGCAGACGGGTGGATGTACCGTCAAAGTTACTGTGGAAAAAGTTCTCTGCTAAGTGAAAATGACCCCAAATCTGCCATATTTAAGCCGGTAAAGCCACTTAATCGTGTGAGCGCTAATGATAGAGGCTGCGGATGAATCACGCGTGTTTGCGCTGTTGTGGCGGTTATCAGACCTTTTCTCTGTGTCGTAATGACCCTTATTGTAGTCTGTGGGCAGGAATGAGGAGACAATTATAATAATTAAAGGCTTTCAGCGTGATTCAGCGCGAGGCTGATGTAGTGACCCGCGGCGCACCGGACCGTCTGACGCACGAGCAAGCTTTTACCTGTAACCTCAAAACCGGTGATTACACGTTACGCTCGTAATCAGCCCTCGCTCGTCACTGACTCTCGCTTTACCGAGTCTCCACTGATGATTTCACTGGAATAGCTTTATGTCGACTCTGTGCTAAAACCCTGCTCTAGACTGATGGCATGCTAACCATTAACATTTATGCTAAACGACTGATTCGGAAAAGGAAACTTAAAGGGGTCATATGATGCTGCTAAAAAAGAACATTATGTTGTGTATTTGGTGTAATGGAATATCTCTTTGGATTTGAGACTTTAGTCTTTGCAACTTTACAGATCTTCTTTATGCACCAAGAGCTTGTAACACTCCAAAGAGAAAGGAAAAATTTAAATCGCGTCATATGACCCCTTTAAAGTTGATTCCAGTAGTTTTGCATTAGCATGTTTGTAATGATGTTGCAGACTTCAGTGTAAACTCACACAGGACAGTGATATTGGGTTTAATCATCCTTTTTCAACATTTTATTGATATATGACCAAAATTATTAATAGTAACAATAGTACTAATTATTATTATTATTATGCTTATTTCAAGTTGTCATATAATAATATGAAACACATTCCATAAAGACATTACAATTTCTTCCTCTTATTATTCTTTAATAACTGGAATTGATAAAAAATAATTAATCCATTTTATGGAATGAGTTTATATATAAACATTTTATAAGGAACATCTTGCAATCTTAAAAATATATGTAGGTGTGATTTTATTTTTAAAGTTAATAATAATAACAAATAATAATAATAATATGCTTTAATATACATTTTTATATATTTAATATATTTATAATGTATTGTTACAAATATTGTTGTAGCATAAAACAAATTATCATATAATATGAGCCAAATTCCATAAAGATTTTACAGTATTTATTATTCAGTATATAATTATTTATTATACAGTATTAATATTATTCTTGTTTTGTAATATTTCAAATAAATTTAAAATTATTTTATTTATTTATTTATTCCTATGTGAAATTTATAAGAAGCATCATGCAATCTC